TTCTGGTCCTTGTAGTCAAAACTTTTACATTTTTTGTCTGGGGCAAAGCCCGGACTTTTCATCCTTGCAGTTTCTATGTCTGTCATATTTATCAATTCGGAAACAACATTGAAAGCTTCTGGCCCAGCGTAGCGGGGGTAACCTTTCTAGTTTATATTTAAATATGTTTCATTGAAGGAATACAGTTCAAATTTATTGACATTTATTTCATTTAATTAGAACCGATTTTTATAAATAATAACCAACTTGAATGTATTTTCTGAGTAAAACTTTTTACAAAGTTAGTATTTTCTTGATGATTTCATACTTTTGTGATCGTATTAACGTTTAAACAAAGTTGCAGCCTTTTCTTGATGATATCATTTTGAAATACGTATTCCAAGTGTTATAAAAGGTTTTATTTGTCAAATTTCTTAAAAATCATTCATGTAAAAAGGGTGGTTGAACTTGTTCAAATTGCTAAAATATCTTTGATATAACCTTATAGTCCTACAAGCTTTAAAAGAAGCTTAACAATATTTCTTCCATTTTTATAATTAATATAAGCCTGTTTAAAAATTCTAATATAAAATTAATTTTTGTTATCATGCCATTCTTAAATATGTTAGAAAATGTACATTGTATGAAATTCTAATAGTGGAATTATATTTTTTGATTTTGTCAATTCTTAATATGTTAGAATGTACGTATGAATTTATTGACAAAAAGAATTTTTCGTTTTAAATAAAAGTATATTTGAAAAGATATTCTTTTAGTGGATCATGGAATTACCAGACAATGATATCAAACTATCAAAGGATGGTTAACAAGTACAATCGTTTTTTCTATTTCTATAATTAATTGACATGTATAAATTATCAAGTCATACTCAATGAATGAATGGAAAGAAAAAAAATCTATATTTCTCTAGTGGATCATGGATCATCAAATCAATAAATGTCACACAATCTACCATCACCCCACCCATTACCCGTACCCCTACCCCTACCCCTATCCCTACCCCTAACCCTTCAAAATTAAAAATAAAAATAAAAAAATAAATTAAAAATAAAATTAGCAACTTCAAGGTGTTAAGCTACTTTGAGATTCTCAAATTCTATGTATTTTTTCCTTAAACAAAGATGGTCTTTGTGAGTATATTGAATGGCCAAACTCAGGGAATGTTTGATTCCTCATTGTCTACATAGTATAAACAAATGAAGAATCCATCAACAAACTATAAAAACACAAGAACACATATCTAGACTATAACATGACTAGTGATCATAAAACACATAAATTTAACATTTTCTTATTTGTCCTCCTGATTATTTTAGTTTTCCCAAAAAAAATTACTATTCTTGGAGATATCATCAAATAAATTTATCTTTATCCTATTGTCGTTTTGTTTCATGTGGAGTAGTTCATCAATTAACTATTTATCTTTTAGAAATATGAACAAAAGGATTCTAATTTGAAAAGTTTGTCATTTTCATCCAAAATCTTCTGTTCTCATAAAAATCAACATATTATTATCATTTTAGCAATAGCAAATTCTAAAAACCGTTATATTTTTTTAGATAATTTAACGGTTCAACCACTTGAATATTATTATATATTCAATAAAATCATAAAAAAATAAACATTTTTTCAATTTAACATTATTGACCTGATATAACATGTCCAAAATGGTTAATTTGGACAATTGCCGGTGATTATATTTTAGCTTCTAACTTTTAAGAAAAATAATCGAATTAAATAAAAACTTTGTTTGGAACTAAGAGCTTTTAAACAAAAATACTTTAATCCAAAAGTTATTTCAAACAAGATTTTTTTAAAACTTTTTAGCCCTATTTTATATTTTATATGTATGTTTACACATTTCAAAAAGTCATATCTATTTTTTCGAGTATTTCTATACTAATAAAAATTATAGATTTCAATTTGCAGTTACCAAATAATTTTACTAAACATACAAATATGTCAAAATAGTTAATTTAGAAAAATATTTAAAACTGGTACGGTTTAATTGAAAAAAAAAAACTATTAATGTTTAAACCACATAAAATATCTACAAATATACTTTTTTTTTTATTAATTCATACAACATGACATTTACAATTTTAATAAACCCATATGTAAAACTTTATACCAAACAAAAAGAACCCTTAAAATAGTAAATTTTGAACTTGTTTATATTTTTCTTTTTCCCTTAATTCATGACCCATGAGACATGAGGCAAAGACAGGCGTGCCAATTCTCTTTATGCTACAAAAAAACAACACCAAACGCCTCAGTCTGCTTTTTCTTGGTTCTTTAAGATTCTTGTGGAAAATGTTTATCATCGTCATCATCAAATTTCAAAACCCAAAACCATAAACCTCAAAAATCACACAACAATCACAAATCCCACTCAATTAATCCTCCAAACATCGATCTTCTATTCAATCATTCATTCAAACTTTGATTGAAATGAGAGTACAACGAGTAAAAACACCTTCCTTCTTTCTTCTCTTTCTATCGTTTTGGGGTTGTTCATATGCCTTACTTTCGCCAAAAGGCGTCAACTTCGAAGGTATATAAACGATAAATCCACTTCTTTTCAATGAAATCTTGTGTTCTTAAATGGTTAAAAATGGAGTTTTTTCATTTGGGTATTGCGATTTTTGATTTTTTTTCAGTTCAAGCTTTAATGGGTATCAAAGCTTCATTGTTGGATCCTCATGATGTTCTTGAAAATTGGGATGCTGATGCTGTTGATCCATGTAGCTGGACTATGATCACGTGTTCTTCCGAAAGTTTAGTCATTGGCTTGTAAGTTTCACACACTAAATGTGTATTCGTGTGTGTATAATAATAATATAAAGTATAAATATTAAAATATCTCTCAAAATTATTATCTTGTTTTCATTATCGATAATACGATTGTTTTTCAGAGGGACACCTAGTCAAAATTTATCTGGCACACTTTCTCCAAGCATTGGCAACTTAACCAATCTTCAGATTGTGTAAGTAATATAAGTATTAATTATTAACTTTTGGTTTTATTTTTTTATTTTATGGTTTAATACTTTAATTAAACTGGTTGATTTTTGGTGTAGATTGTTGCAAAATAACAACATCACAGGATCAATCCCGGAAGAAATTGGTAAATTGAAGAAGCTTCAAACACTTGATCTTTCCGATAATCATTTCACCAATGAAATCCCATCTTCTTTAGGTCATTTATCAGCCCTTCAATACATGTAAGTTTATTTAAATAATATAATATAATATATTAATACCTTTTATATTATCATTGTTCTTGAATTAATTTCAAATTTTGATATTTTTAGGAGGCTAAACAACAATTCTCTTTCTGGGTCAATCCCAGAATCGGTAGCAAACATGACGCAACTTGCATTTGTGTAAGATTTAATTTCCCAATCTTTTTTTTACAATAATTTATAATTCAAATATATATATAAATACATATTTGTGTATCTATATATAATGTAATTATGTTCATTCACAATAATTTATAAGGAGTCTTTTTGGTGTTATGTAATTATGTTCATTCATTGCAGAGACTTGTCCTTCAATAACTTGAGTGGCCCTGTTCCTAGATTTCCTTCCAAGACCTTTAAGTAAGTCTTTAGATAATTTATAACATAAGGGTATATAAGTAATTTTACTATACACCCTAAATAGACATCTTCATTGCTTTCTTTCTAAATCGATGTTTATTTATTGTAGCATCATTGGGAACCCAATGATGTGCAAAACAGGATCCGACCAACAATGTTATGGAATGACACTTATGCCCATTTCTATGCCATTAAACAACACACAATGTACGATTATAAATTTATAATTAAATTGAATATTTTTTATGTATCAATTTAAAGGGTATTACTAATTTTTTTTATGGTGTTTTATGTTTTTATAATTTGTAGCCGAAAACACCTTGGAAAAACGTAAAACTCATAAAATCGCTATTGCTATTGGTACAAGTGTTGGATGCATCTTGTCACTCATATTTGGAATTGTGTTGATATGGTGGAGGAAAACTCGTAATTGTGAACTCTCATTTGATGCTGAAGGTTAGTGATTTACAAAATCATATTTATGATGAAACACAACATATTTCTATCAATTTTGTCGTGGTTTAACCACTTATTTATATTCTACATTTTTTCATATTTTTAACATTAAAAAAAACCAATGTTTTTGGTTACCTGGTTTTTTGAAAAAAAAAGACGCATAGTTGTGTGGCCAACTAATAGAAAAATAGTTAAGTAGCTAAATATAAAACCGGAAAATAACTTTATGATTTAGGAATTTTTGTCTTGATAGCAAAATCGGGTAAACACGAAAAATAGATTTTGAAAAATGATAAGATAACAGTTTAATCATAATAAATATAATTGACTATATCAATAAAATCATATAAATACAAGTGATTTTCTCTATTTTTCCTTAAATGTTACTATTTTGATTCATATTTCATTACAAGAAAATGGAGATGTTTGACTTTTCATGTCAAACTTTTTACGTTTTTAATAATTTTAAACATTGATCTACAATTTGTGATGAATTTTACTTTTGTATTCTAAAAATTAGCAAACTGTTGTATAAAATTTAAAATATTTATAACTTTTTTTCAAATTTAAATACCTTACAACAATCAATTTCAAACTGTTCCATTTTTATGGAACAGTAGTAATCTACTGTTAATGGAAGAGTTTGATTTTTAAGGTCAAACCATTCATATTTCAAAATCAAAATCAATGAGATTTTCAGGATGAATTTAACAACCACAATAATAGGTATGTAAATGTTGTATGACTTCGATGAATTCTAAAAAATTCCTCAAAAAAGCAAAAAACTTTAGCTCCAATTTCAAAGTTGAAAATTGTTTACTTTGACTTCAAGGGTAACGTTGTAATTTTTCTTTAATCAAATCGGCAAATTCAGATAAACATCCGGAAGAAGTTTCACTCGGAAACTTGCGGAAATTTCAACTCCGGGAACTTCAAATCGCAACACACAACTTCAGCAACAAGAACATATTAGGAAAAGGGGGTTTTGGGCATGTCTACAAAGGGATCCTCAACGATGGAACATCGGTGGCTGTCAAGCGGCTGAAAGATGGCGGAGCCGCCGGCGGAGAACGGCAGTTCCAAACGGAAGTCGAAATGATCAGCCTAGCAGTTCACCGGAATCTCCTCCGGTTATACGGATTCTGTATGACTCCGACTGAAAAGCTCTTAGTCTACCCATATATGTCCAACGGCAGCGTCGCTTCTCGCCTCAAGGGTAAACACACAATCTTCCATGCATTACATGATTGTACATTCTTCATAAATATATGTACTTTTTCCTTATGGGTAAAGGGTAATTCTGTCTTTTCAAAATTTCATTGTTCTTGTTCAGTTTCAAGAAATCTTGAAAATTAGGGAAAAAATCAAGACTGATGCACATTTTGCATGGACACATGTATTTTTCTTCATGGGTAATCCTGTCTTTTCAAAATTTCATCACCGGTGTTGTGTTTCCAATAGGGCAAAAATCAAGAATGGTGTACATTTTGCATAGATACATGTACTTTTCTTCATGGGTAATCATGTATTTTCAATTTTAATGAGTAGTAGTGTTTAATTTCAAGAATTCTTGAAAACTAGGGCAAAAATCAAGACTGGTGTACACTTCGCATGCATAGAGGTCCTGTCTTTTCAATTTTCATATGTTAAAACCAGGGGAAAGTAAGATTGATGTACATTTTGCATGGATACATGTACTTTTATTCATGGGTAATCTTGTCTTTTCATTTTTTTCATCACTTGTGTTTACTTTCTTGAAATCTTGAAAATTAGGGCAAAAATCAAGACTGATGCTTTATGATGTTGTACCTTTACAGCAAAACCAGTGTTGGATTGGGGCCTTAGGAAGAAAATTGCATTAGGGGCAGGGAGGGGATTGTTGTACCTTCATGAACAATGTGACCCTAAAATCATTCATAGAGATGTCAAGGCTGCAAATATATTACTCGATGATTGTTGTGAGGCGGTTGTTGGTGATTTTGGGCTCGCAAAGCTTTTAGACCATCAAGATTCTCATGTCACCACTGCGGTTCGGGGCACCGTGGGCCATATTGCACCTGAGTATCTTTCAACGGGCCAATCGTCTGAGAAGACAGATGTTTTTGGATTTGGGATCCTTCTGCTTGAACTCATCACGGGTCAACGGGCTCTAGAATTTGGAAAAGCCGCAAACCAGAAAGGAGCAATGCTTGATTGGGTAAGCTCCTTAACTGATACATCGTGGGATTGTATATTTGTACTGTACAATCCCACAATGTATATCTGTAATTTTTCTACATATATTTTTGGGGCACTATGGAACCAGAAAGTGTCCAAAAATATATTTTGGACATTTTCTGGTTCAAAATTTGGTGGTTAAAATTTAATCTTGTAAGTTTTGTTTTGAGTTAATATTATAAATAAGTAACAAATTATTTGATTTTAAACAAAACATTATTGTTACAAAAACTAATATCAAAAGGTAAACAATCGAAAATTTATATAATAAATAGTTAATAATTATGTGTCATTTCATATAAAACAATTTTTTTTACCCACATCAACCTTTTGTATTTTGATGCAAAAGGGGATTATGGGCCCTTTTTCTCTGCACAAAATGTCAATAAATTCACAATTCAATTTATTGGACCAAAGATGTAAGTTTTTTCTAACTTGTACCTTATGCAATAAGAGTTGTAGAATTTGCCCAAAAAGTTGATTTTGATTCTTGGCTAGTTATACAAAAGTTCCCAACAAGACATAATGGACACTTGTTGAATCAGTCTTTGAATGTCTAAAGGAGAGCAACATTATTTTATGGACTCTTAGCTTATCTATTAAGAGAGTTGTACTTTATTCATTAAGAGTTGTTTTTAGCTCATTGCACAAAAGTTTGTCCTAAGAAATGTCCAAAATTGCATTATGGATTTTATGCAAGAGTTGTACCACATTCACTCTATTTTTCTGGCCCAATCAATAGTGCTTTACAGACTTGTACCAAATGTACATCGGTTCTTTGACACAGAAGTTTGTGTCAAAGATGCCATGCATTATTGACTTGTACCTTTTACATTATGAGCTGTACCACACGCAGTAACAGTTGTACTTTTTCTTTTCAGGTGAAAAAGATCCATCAAGAGAAGAAACTAGACATATTAGTAGACAAAGATTTAAAGAATAATTACGATCGAATGGAGTTGGAAGAGCTTGTAAAAGTGGCTTTGTTGTGCACACAGTATCTTCCCGGCCACCGGCCAAAGATGTCGGAAGTTGTACGGATGCTGGAAGGTGATGGGTTGGCAGAGAGATGGGAAGCTTCACAGGGGATAGAGTCCACCGGAAAGTTCAGAACGCCGGAGCTGTCTTCGTCGGAAAGATATTCTGACCTCACAGACGACTCTTCGTTACTTGGACAAGCCATAGAACTCTCTGGCCCAAGATGAATTAGTTATGTATTATCAAGTGTATCTATTTTTTTATTATCAAGTTTTAAATTAATTTTTTTAGTTCTTAAGTCGTTTATTTGTACAAAGTTTTGTCGAGAAAAGCGTGAATTAAATAATATAGTTTCTATTTTTTTTATATTTAAAAGTTGACTCAATCCTTAACTTAAAATTTTAACAAAAATAAGTAAATTATGTTCATAAAATGAATCGACTGGAAACATATACTTTATCTCAAAATTTGATTAATGTGTAATTAAAGTATTTATGTTGCGCATTAGGTCCCTATTAACTTAAAAAGACTATTATGCGTTAGGTCCCTATTAACTTAAAAAGACTATTATACTCTTAGAACTTTGTTTAAATAAAATTTTAGGTAAATTATACCAATCATCATTCGTGCGTATGTCAAAACATCCGTGTAGTCCCTATTTTCAAAAATTAACTCGGACCGTCCCTGATTTGTCTTAACTTTGCACGCTTCATCACTCACTAGTTTAAGTTTTCACAATTCATCTTTTACCCTTCATGCTTTATTTTGTATTTATAAAAAAAAAAAAAAAAAATCCAAACGTTTATTTTCACATTTATTAATAAATCTTAAACAAATAAAACCTTTTAGCCCTACGCACCCCACCCATTTATCTACCTTACCCCATTTTCCATCTTCTTGGCGAGCTTAGTCCCCAAAAAATCAAAATCTGGCCATTGGACCACCACCTAACACCACCTTGAAATACCTACCGGACCACCACCGTCTCTTTCTCAATGCATCTTTCACATTTCCTTTCTTTTTTACAACATCATCTTCAGCAGATTACCCTATCACTTCAACAACATCGTGGAGGATTACACAAGCCCGTTGTCGNAGCTCTAATGGAGTCACAAACACCACTAATCTGGCCATCGGACCACCACCTAACACCACCTTGAAATACCTACTGGACCACCACCGTCTCTTTCTCAATGCATCTTTCACATTTCCTTTTTTTTTACAACATCATCTTCAGCAGATTACCCTATCACTTCAACAACATCGTGGAGGATTACACAAGCCCGTTGTCGGAAAACAACATCGTCGGTTACTTCTATAGGGGAGCAGGAGCATCAAAATTTTCTTCTGTGGCTCACAGATTCGACATCTTCTTCTGTCGCCACCACCCACCAACCTTATAACCTCACCTCACCTCACAACTTTTTAAGTTGGAATCAATCCTCTTTCTCTCGTTTTTTATCTGTGTAGAACTTGTCGGTAGTTTTGGGTGGTTGTTGGAATGCAGATCGGTGGTGGTGGTTTTGGGTGGGTTTTTCGAGAGTTGATTGGTGGTGGGTTATGATGGGTTTCGAGCAATACATCAATCCTATGGTGTACATGCAAACCCTAATAGCTTTGGATCTAGTTT